TGGTGGTTGAACAATGTTTATATAAAACTTCTCTGGTATCTTTTCTTTGTTCCCACGCACACATCTGTATACAAGTGTTTTTAAGGATTGATGTGCATTTAATGAGCATGCACTGAAGAACAAATCATGTTTATCAGCAAAATATGAGTACAGATCCCCCAAGAGTTCAGTTATCTTGTGGTATCTACTATGGAATTGCTTTCTGATTCATTCTAGGATTGCTTCCAGTTTTTCTATATTGAAATATAATTTAAAGTAAAATATCTTGATCTCTGCAATGTTCTAATTATTCCTAGAATACTTCAACTGTAAAGTTTATGGTTAAAGTTAATTTAATTTTGGAATAATTTAAAGTTATTGTGATGTCTTTTCATCTTGCTTATCAAATTACAATTGACATTGCTATAATCTAGTATATCTGTTTTAATTTCTCAATGGGATTCTAAAGTAAATTCAGATTCATTTGTATTAGAAGATACCGATGCTTTTGTAAGTATACCCCGTTTTCTTGCCTTAATTCTATAAAAATAATAGTACAGTACATTCAACTCCGAAAGGCACAGTAGAGCAGTGTTATATAAATCGAGAACTAATATTCAACACTATGCACAGCCCTACTGTTATATACACTGTCTCCTGCAATGTTTTCTTTAACATGAGTCAGAAATCTACCCTTGTTCCCACTCTGCATTTATTGATCCTATGTAGAAAGTATAAAACTGCATGTGAACAAAAAATAAAATAGATTGAGATCACACTACTGAGCCTGCATTATATAATGTTTATGCTATTAGACTGTTTGTTACAGAGGGAGATTAAAAGGAACTTCTGCCAAACTTACAAATGTTCAGTCTTAAAGATTGTTGCCTGATTTTTTCCATCTGAGGAAAGGGTAGCCTGGTTATCCCTGCACTCCGCCTTTTGACCACCCACTGGGTTAACTTAAAACGTTGGATCCTGCCAACACCTACACATTTACGTGAGTCAGTAACTGATTGCAACATACTACATTCCTAGGTAACTGGCAGTACAAGCTTTTCTTTGCTTTATTACTTGGATTTCTGAAGAGCAGTAATTAGGCTTTTTTTTCTAATTTCGGTTACTAAAAGTTTAAAATGAGTTTTGTCTGTGTGTCGGTTGCACACTCAATGCTTCTTTCTCATCAGCCATCAAAGCTTCATTATTGACAATGCTTTTCTACACCAGTGGCAACATTCTTTTCTGGAGCAGACTTTTTAAATCATGTTGAGAATTAAACAGGTGGAAAATCATTTGAGTTTGGGAATGAAAGGGTAGAACTCGTAATGAACTATCCTAGAAAACAGTTTAGCCAGCTTGGCAAGAAACCAGTGCCTCTGCTGGGCCTTATATGATCCCAGAGGAAGAGAGCATTGCATTTGCAAACCCAAATCAAAACAGAAATTAAAGAAACATGGTTTGAATTAAATCTTTTTTCCCTAAGGACTTTGAAAATGTTTCTTTTATAGAGTTCTACAGAAGGTAAAAGTTTGTGTAGAGATGTATGATAGCAATTCAGTATTTCATATAAAAGTTTTTATTTAATGACAAGATATCCTAAGTTCTCAAAAATCATGAGTTGGCTTAAAATCATGAGCTTAAAAACACTTTTTTTTTTGACATTTTGTTTATGGACCTTTAAGTTACATACACTTCACATTTTTCAAGCATTTCTCCACATCCAAAGGCTAGAAAACATTTTATTCTTGTATTTTGTTGAAAGCTGAGATTCTCATGCAATCTCAATTCCAGCAACTGAGGCATTAAGTAAAACACCAGATATTGTGGGAGTTGATAGCACGTGATACCCAAAACAAAGTAAAACAATTGCAAAGCACAAATTAATGAGAGAGACTTGGTACATGTAATATATACGATATATTATGAATATAGCAGGCATTCATTAAGGCTTGAAATCATTCAACCTTCTAGCTCAAAATCCTAAACATGTAAAAGCACATGACTGGCAAACACTAGGGATGAGACAAATGGAAAGCTTTCAATGTTCACAGAATACCAAATATTAGGATTGGTACATAGAAGTGCTAGTAGGATTGGTACATAGAAGTGCTACCTATCACATTTTACTACAAAAGTCTTAGAACTGAGTGAGTAAGAAAGTTGGGCATCATGAGAAAAAGAGACTCTGGAGCTGGAGATGTAGAAGGCGGCAGTGGGGAGGGGTGAAAAGAGGATATTGTAGATTATTGCAGGGAGCCTTGTGATACTGCTACCCTTACTTCTGAACTATTGCTGTTAGTGGTACTGCCTTCAGAGCAGGGCATCTGAAGGGCAGCAACAGCTGTTGGCCAGGAGTCCTGCTATGAAGGCAGAGCCACTGACAGAAGCAGCACTGAAGCAAGGGTGGCATGGTGTGATATTGCTACCCTTACTTCTGCGTTGCTGATCACAGGGTGCTCAGAAATGAGCATCCAAGCAACCACCACTCCCCATCTACACAGCTCTGAAAGCAGCACAGAAATAAGGGTGGCAATACCACAACCCGCCTAAAATAACCTTCTGATCATCCTGCAATTCCCTTTTGGATCAGGGCCTTCCATCTGAGAAATGGTAGTCTCCCTGTGAAATCTGTATAGTATTGGGGAAAAGCACACAGAAGACCTAATTTCATGCAGGCGTGGGGGAGGTCATATTTCACCATCTGTGATGTGTTTTTCATGGTTATGAATTTGATAAGGCACTAGTTATGTAGTCTATCGAATTTCGGCAGTCATAGCAGTTACCTATAAATTGGCACAGATGGTTTATACGCCATTACTCTTTTCAGCATGCAGATCTAAGTATTTTCAGTTTTCAAAAAATCAAGTGAAAATAACTTGTTAGCTAGAAGGAAAATACAAAATTTGAATGCATAACTATAGCGTCATTCAACAGAGACCTCTCCCTTTATGGCCAATTTCACTCTTCATAGTATATTAAAACACTTGTACTTCTAGTGACATAAATCTTGTAACATGATTCGCTGATACACTTTGTACCTCTTATCTTCCGTAAACAAAAACTCAGGCTCATGTGCCAGTTTTGGAGAAAATGGAGTAATTGCTCTTGAGACAGGATGACCTACAAATATAAATATTACAGTAGAAGCTCACTAAGTATATGTCTACACTGTAATTAAAAATCCGTGGCTGGCTCAAGTGAACTGACTTGTAATTTCAGTGCTCAAACTAAGGGGCCATTTAACTGATATGCAGACATTTTGGGCATGGACTGTAGGTTGAGCTGCTCTCACAGTGTCTGACAGTCTGAATGTCTACACTATAATCAAACAGCAGCTACATCTAAGTCAGCTAGCATGAGGAAGCCATAGTTTTTTCTTTTCAATGGAAATGTAACTTTTTGGATTTGATCCAAAGCACATTTAAGTCAATAAAAAGACTCCCATTAATTTCAGCGTGCTTTGGAACTGTCCCTAAGGTCCCAATCCTGCAAGTGTTTTTCTATTTGCTTAAATTTATGCCTGTGAGAAGTTCCATTTGAGCAGTTACTTCAATGGGATTACTCACATGCATAATGTGCTTATGTATACGATCATGCTGATGACTGTGAAACCCATTGCTAACCACCACATTTTGCAAATCATCAAGTAGATGAATATAATGAAACAATGCTACTGCATCACAAAATATGCTTTGTTCATTTATTTTGGCATAATTTGACAGCATATTGTAGCTACCACAGAAGTAAGTACTTTGGTATACAGTACTACATTCACAAAATATATTAAAGAAATTAAGCTTTAGTGACCTGAGCTCTTACTACAGGTTTGACATCTCTTATCCAGCACCCTCGGGACCTAACCAGTCCTGAACCAGGGAATTTGCTGAACCTAGAGATGGTTCCTTGCTATAGCCCCCAGCCACTGACTCTGCCAGCTGAGGTGGGGGCAGAGAGAGAGGCAGAGGGACTCCCTCCAGCTTCTTCTGAGCTGCCTGTTGGGTTGCTGACCTCACTGTTGCTTTCCCAACCGGACTGCCTGCTGGGTTCCCACAGTCTGTGCGGCCATAGGCTCCAGCCATGTGCTACCATAGGCTGGGGGGGGGTGGGTCTGAACCCTGCAGGGGCTCAAGCACCAGTCCCAGCCCCGCTGCAGCCTGTAGGATCTGGCCCCGCTTCCGTGGTATTTCCAGGGCTCCAGCCCCGTGCAGCTGTGGGCCGCTGGAGCTTTCTCCAGCCCTGGACCTGGTCCCTCTGCCACAGGCTGCTGAGACAGTGAGCTCCTGCCCTGTGGCAGCCCATGGGCTCTGTTCCTACTTCCGTGGGCTGTCCTGGGCTCTAGCCCCACACTGCTGGGGGCTGCTCCTAGTCCCAGCGTTGGTCCTGCATCCATGGACTGCCTGAGGCTCTAGGCCCAGCCCTGCACTGGCATCACCCTGTCGCCAGCCCAATCCTGCGCTATCAGGGGCTGCCCCGACCAGGTCCTATTGCTGCAGGCTTTCAGGGGCTGTTGCCAGCTCCTGCCCAGTTCCACTGCTTCAACCTAGCCCCTCCTGGATTGTCCTCCTGCCACTAGGCTACCAGGGTTGTCTGATCAAGGAACATTTGTGGTCCTGCTGGCCAAGGATGTTGCTGGACCAGAGAATTCCAATTTTGGGAAGTGCAACCTGTACACACCACATTATAGAATTTATTTTGAACTAGCTATTTGATTGTTTGGCAAAGGTTTTTTTCAATTAAAAATAATTCAGGGATTGTTTATTAGTTAATTATTTTTATTTAGATGGTGTAGTGTATCCTTTGTCTACAACTTAATGTACACAGTTGAGCCTTTAAAACCTATACAGTGACTCAGATTGTACCATGCTCACTTAAAACTGAGCATGATCTCAAGTAATTTAAGAACATAAGAACTTGCAAGAAAGATCCTTAATAATTGGAGATTTGTTAGTTGTTTTGCCTCTTCCCTAATCTTCCATTAAGTACAAAGGCTTCTTTGTTAACTGCCTTAACTCTGATTAAACCTACCCTCTGAATGCAGAGAGTGACAATGTGACCAACTACATCTGTGTAGTCCCTTTTAAGGAACTGGGTCTTGGTCTGAGTGAAGAGCAGGTGTCTGAAGAGGAGGCACACAACCTTACAGATGGCTTCAGCCTGCCTGCACTCAAGGTAATCCATCCTAGAAGGGAGAATGCATGTTTATATACACTCGCTCATTCAAATCCATTTCCGCTGCGGCAGTGCCGTGCTGTTTTTTGTTTCAAACATCCGATTTTTCTCCCCATACCTGCATCAGTCTATAATTAAAGAGCCTTAAGTGAGGTTCATGAATGCTCCAGAAGCTCATCCTGCATATTTTTACGAATACAAGCTTGTAGGAGGATTTCATTTAGTATTCAATTAATGATAAGATGTGCAGAGTAGGGTGTTGGGTTGTCTAAATCATTCTTTTATTTAACAAAAAAATAGCATTCACAAATCATTCTCTTCCCAAATATTTTATGGCTCCTGTGATTTAATTCAATCAGTGTGGAGGAAAAAGTCCATGAAGTAACTTCTCAGTTTGTATATATTTCTTGGCTAATCCCCAGCTACTCATCTTGACTTAAACAAAAATAGAAGCATTCCAAAGATGTATGTTGCTGGTAATTGAAAAAGGAAAATGTGGCATTTATTTATGCAGTAAGGTCCATAAGTTAGACACCTAGCATCATGAATTGGTGTGTTCTTAATACATTTAAGCACAAGTGCAGCAAGGGGAACTAGGTGCAAGCTGGGCCAACTGATTCCTGGCTCATGCCTGGCGACTCTTAATACAGTTAAAGGCAGAGCCACAGCAGGGTTAGCTCCCGGGACTGCTTGTTAGGGCACATTCAGTCAGAGTACAAGCCTCCTTTGAAGCCTTCATTGCCAATGTTCCTATCCAGGAGATGTGTGAGGCCACAACATGGTCCTCAGTGCACATTTTCACTGCAGCCTGACACAACAAGCCCAAGAAAATACTGCCTTCAGGAGAATTGTGTTGCAGTTTCCCATGTCCTTAAACTCCTCCCACCACCAGAGATACTGCTTACAGTTCCCTACATTGAATGGACTTGTGAAAGCATTCTAAGAAGAAAAGATAGTTTACCTGTTTCCATAACTAGTGTTCATCTATATGTATTGCTCATGTCCATTCAGCATCCCGCTGCACTTCCCCACTTTCGGAGTTTTCCGGCAAGGAGGAACTGAGGATGGAAGGGGTCTGGAAGTGCCCTATATAGTGCAGCATGTGCATGCCATTCCAGGGGGGCACCTGAGCCAATTCCCCCTATGTATACTGTTACGGCCCTGGTGCATGTAGTAAGCACACACACCTATGTCGAATGGACATGAGAAAACATATCTCAAAGGATACCAGTTACGGAAACAGGTAACTGTCTTTGCCACATGGAAAATTACTAATTCAATTGAATAAGATGACAATATGAGAATTGAAAAAGGTGCTCAAGGAACTAATTAAAGGGAAGACTACAATAGGTCATTCTGTGAAAGGTTAACTGGCAGGTTAGAAGGCGATTTCTGGTGGAGTTCCTCAGAGTCCGGTTTTGAACCAATCTTATTCAACATTTTCATTAATAAACCTGACACAAAAAATGGGAATGTGCTAATAAAATTTGTGTGTGACACAAAGCTGGGAGGTATTGCCAGAATGGAAGAGAACCAGAATACATATTGGCTGTGTCTAGACTGGACAGTTTTTCCTCAAAATCATCTGCTTTTGCGGAAAAACTTGCCAGCTGTCTACACTGGCCGCTTGAATTTCCGGAAAAGCACTGACGATCTCATGTAAGATCGTCAGTGCTTTTCCGGAAATACTATGCTGTTCCCATTCGGGCAAAAGTCTTTTTCCAAAAGACTTTTGTGCAAAAGGGCCAGTGTAGACAGCACAGTACTGTTTTCCGCAAAAAAAGCCCTAATTGTGAAAATGGCGATCGGGGCTTTTTTGCGGAAAACCATGTCTAGATTGGCCCCGGATGCTTTTCCCCAAAAAGTGCTCTTGCGGAAGAGCATCCTGCCAATCTAGACGTGCTTTTCCGAAAATGCTTTTAACGGAAAACTTTTCCGTTAAAAGCATTTTCGGAAAATCATGCCAGTGTAGCGATTTAGAAAATCGAGAGTAATAGAAATGGGATGAAATTTAATAGTGCAGGAGCGTGCACTGAGAGATTAACAAGAGTTTTTGCTATTAGCTGGGGAATTATCAGTTAGATATGACAGAGAAGGAGACAGATGTTAGAGTAGTGGTCAATAAGAGGCTAAGTATGAGCTACAGCCATGAAAACAATGGCTGCAATCCAAAATGTTTTAAAAAGTGAATTAAGAAACAGTAATGTTTTAACAATGAAGATCATTTGATCCTTTCTGTATTTTGTAGGTTCTGTTTCAGCTGTGGGTAGGACAAAGTTCAGAGTTCTTCAGACGATTAGCATTGCTGCTTTCTCCAGTTAATGCATCCCCCAAGTCTTTAATCACCCCAGAACATTTGCCTCATTGTATTTTGTCTGATGTGACTCAAGATCTATCTCACTCTCATGCTGTCTGCTTAGAAGAGCTTAAGCGAAGCTATGAGTTTTATCGGTACTTTGAAACTCAGCATCAATTAGGCTTAGAACGTGGAACCAAAACAAAACCAAAGTCACGAGTTCTGAACAGTCTTCACACAGCAGTTCGCAGCTTGCAGCTCCATCTCAAGGCCCTACTGAATGAGTAAGTTTTTACTGTTTAAGAGAATGTGCCTATGGCTAGAAAACTTCAATCTTGCACTGTTTTGGTCGATGGTATATGGCACAGACTTAAAAAAAAAAAAAAAAAAAAAAAGACTAAATTGAGGCTTGCAGCCATGCACTGTAAAGGATGGTGTACATCTGTTATTGCAGGCTGTGTTATATTGCTGTTTCTGCTTCGGTGCCCATATATTAGAATGATTTTGCCAGACAGCCAAACAACTCTGATTTACATTTTACAACTAGAGGAAGATATTTAACATAAGGATGCTAAGAAGTGTGTAATTCGTTAATAATAGAATCATAGAACCATAGAGATGGAAGAGATCTCAGAAGATCATCAAGTCCAGCCCCCTGCTCTAGGCAGGACCAATCCCAACTAAATCAACCCGGCCAGGGCTTTGTCAAGCCGAGACTTAAACACCTCTAGGGATGGAGACTCCACTACTTCCCTAGGTAACCCATTCCAGTGCTTCAATACCCTCCTAGTGAAATAGTTTTTCCTAAAATCCAACCTGGACCTCTCCCACCACAACTTGAGACCATTGTTCCTTGTTCTGCCATCT